CAAATTCTTTGATGCATTTGATACTTAGTTTTAAGTATTTCAGGATTAGCACTACGCACTATCGCGATTTTGTCTTACAGCTAGAAATATATGATATAATTAAATATAACATATTATTGAACTGAAAGTATTGCAAGAAAATGCATTGCATTTATTGCACTTTTTATTTCAATTCCATTTTATTACTCGACGTTAAAAGTGCGGAGTGTTATTAGGTCATCGAGGGAAATCATTATCTGCTTGGACATTCGATTAAATGTTCTCGTGTATGGTCAATGAAATCTAAGTTCATTGATGATCCACGAACTAGAAAAGTGAACGCGAATTGTAAATTAATTTTTTAATAATTGAGAATTAGAATCATAACAAAATACGAGTTTATTTGCAAAATTAGTATGAAAGATTTTATCTTGCTCGCACGTAGGGAATGTCCAAATGCAGTTTTCATGGAATGAAGAAAGAAGAGGCTTAACGCCGAAGAGGCTTCCACTTAATTGTGGCTGAAGAGGGCAACTACAGGCTATTGAGTTATTTTCAAAGTTTCAACAGCAAGTTCGAACCTTTAGAGAATGGCTCTCTAGTCATATTTTATATTTTATTGTATAACTTTTTTGCTCGTCATTAATTCGTAGTTGTAATTGGAGATAATGGACGATTCCATCTCCTCGGGACACCATATTGGTGTCTAATATCTTAAAAAAGATGCATATGTGTTTAGTTAGTTCGAGTCAAAAAATTTAAACTCCCTTATTATTACATTTTCAAGCCTAATTATCGTTTTTTAAATATTAAAGTAATCTCTCTTTTCTTTTTTGTCTTTAATATTTTTAACTGTGATCGTATTTTATTAAATTTGTAATTTTTTCCTTTCTATATAATTCAGTTTAAAAGTATTAGTCATAATAATTAATAGATATTATTTTCTATAGTAACTTAATATTTGTACTTTTACTTTTTTATTTTATTTTTTATTTTATGTAAATGTAAAATCACGTATTTAAATTTAATTTCATTACAACGGTAAATAGATATTTGATAAAAATAAATAGAGAATTCAATTTGAAAAGAGCATCTGCGAATTGGACGATTCATATGTCAGGCTATTACTGTATCACTTGATTCTATAATTTTCTTTTTGTTACAGGTGATCATTGTTGGATTTAACAACAAACCTTTGAGATCTTTTTCTATTTGTGTTCCTGAAATTGTTTTATTTTGGAATATATGTATAATGGTATTTCAGAAGGCACACACAAAAACTAAATATAACATATACATTGGTAAATGTACACTGTGATACTATTCGCTTACGGAGCAGGAAGGAATTCATTGACGTTGGGGGGTGTTTTTTACTTATTTTTCCTGTCACAGTTTTCACTGTACACGTTATTCTGCTCACCGTAATCAAAATACGACAAATGCAGATTCAATTTCGACTACTAAACGTTTACGAGTTTTCGAGTGTATATTAGTGAGGAAAAAATACTACATCTTGTCTAGCTCAATTTTAGTATTTTATAATCACTTGAAATGGAACGAACAAATTGATTGTCGTTAGTTATTGATATAAAATCAACATTTTATCATGTAGCATTTTTTTTTTTGTATATTTTTCTTTTTTTTCAACCTTTTTCGTTTCCATTGAATTCGACGATATGGAGAAAAAAGAAATGAAAATGTGGTGCAAACAATTTTTCGTTAAAACATTTCGTTTGAAATATACGAATTAACTGAAAAGTTTATTTAAACATATATATATGTTTAAATATATATATGTGTGTGTACATACTTATGTAAGTGAACAAATATAAATACACATTAAGGATTTATTTTCTTGAAATGTCGATAACACAATGTCCTTGTTTGAAAAGTGCAAATATTACGAGTATTTCTCAATTTGTTTTTTTTTAAGAAAAGTTTACGAAGCACTCGCTTCAGTTGATCTCGACAAATCGAATATGCAACCTTTTACGAAGAACTGTGCAATCTTTGTTACAAAAAAACCAAAAACATGGTCGTATTTGATATTTCAAAGAATTGTTAGACAGTGATGATAAGTATTTCCTTGACGGACAAAAATCTGTAACATACATACGTATATTTAACTCTAGATTTACGGACTGAGCCAATTTGACTCATTTAAAATTTTGTTGCTACATATATATAAAACTTAAATATTATTTTTTAAAAATATATATTCGTTTTTAATTACGTAAATATTAATTCCTACCCTCTACTCAGTTCTTCATTCAAAAAATGTTTGCAAGTCATTAAAAAGTAATGAACAAAATATCCGTAAATCTAATGTTAAAATATGTTTAAATAGAAAGTAAGAAGGATGAAAATGATTCGTAATTAATCCGGACTAAAACGTCTTTTACAAGATAGATTGATGGTATAGATATAGGTTCGTTGGAGCTTTACCTGGATTTTACGAGGGTTCTTGATGGATACCTAGGAATAGCCATTGTAACTGAGGTATATTATTATTATCTTCTGCCATTAAAACATCCCCTTTAGTTAGCATTTCACCTTGCAACGGGGACAAAGTATCACCGGTGTGGTCGAGGGTATAGCTCTGGTAGAGTCGATCTTACACGTCGTTGCTCGACAAAGAGTACGAACACGATGGTACGTATTAATATCTAGGGCCCATGGCTATCATCCCTCTTCGTAATTCTCGTCTTACCAACGTTACCAACGATTCAAAATCTTTAACGTTGATAAAAGAAATAATATACGTTAACGCATTTCATGATAAAAATTACTCTATGAAAAAACTTGACACAACGTATTATTATATATATTTTTTTAAAGTATATAATGCCTATCGCGCAAATGTTTTATTACGTAGCTTTGTCCTTCTCGTTTTAACTTTGTGTTTCTTTTACGTAGTAGGATACTTTAACAACGGAATAACTAACGCACACTCCGTGTAAGGTTTCTCTCATCTTATTAATTATTCGTTATTTGTGCTGTTATTTTTTTATGTAGAAGAAAAAAAACACAGAAGACTGAGAAAAAAATAATAAAATACAGAGAACTAATTTCGTGATTATATATAGTAACTTGTTTATCAGACAGGTAGTCTTGATATAAATAAAAACCAATTATGAAAGGTAACCGATTGTACGCATAAAGTGCTAACGATAAACGACGATGAGTATCGGAAGTTTGAAGGACGACTCGTTGCATCCCTTGGTAAAAGTAAAATCATTTATCCTTTTCAAATTAATTCGTGAACGTTTCACTCGACACGTATCATTTTCCTTTAGCGTGAAAGGATTCAATTTATAAAATTTAATCTGCTGTTTAAGTATAATTCTTGCGTTTGTTTCATTTTGTGTATTTCTCTTACTCCGTTCGTGATTCATTTTACTGAATATATCAAATATATTATAACGTTTTTGACTGAATTCGTGAGAATACACTTTTTCCTCAAGAAACAATTTATTCAACGGTAAATCCGCGACGTATTTTTGAAACATAAATTGAAAACAGCATGTATGTATCATGTTTCTTTTAAGAATATCACTACATGAAATAATTTTTATATTTCACCAGAATGACGTTAAAATATTCATGAAAAATCCTTTATCTTTTATTATCGAAGTTATCGGAAGATAACCTATATACGGCCTTTTATCAAATTAAATAAAACTATTCATTAACACACGTGCTTTTTGATATAATAAAAATTCGTGATAATACACAGGAAACTGTGCATGAAAGCCGTATATCAGAGAATTCAAAGATAACAAAAGAATATAGGAATTTAATTATTGATTTTAATTTCTGTGTATTCTAACGTATTTGATTAATTCGTTATATTCAATTAAATCAAAGGAATGAATGTATTGTGACTAAATTTAAATACGATTTAATAATAGTACGATATGTTTAAGATGCCTCGAAGCTGTAAGATCAATCGATCTGATACTACTGTGCATAAAGTTTATATTAGAAAAAACTTATCCTATCATTCGCGCTTACGTTTGTCTCTACCGTATAATATCGATAAAATAAGTTTTCCGTATGATGATTGGCGTATACTTATGCGAAAACTTACAAAAAAATGATGAAAAGAATAATAACTAGCTGGAGGCATATTCTAGGTGGGGGTGGGAAAGGGATGAAAGTAGGCTCAAGTTTCTGAAGTAAATTGGCTGGAAAATTTGGCATATGCGAGGATGCGCGAAAGTTGCGCACGCGTCTCAGATTTTCGCGGGTTTCATCGGCCGTAGTAGCTGCGTCGTACGGGATGCAGTCGGTTAACAGTCAGTTCACCGTTAACTCGCGACGACGAGTCGTGTTTTATTCTCTTAATTATTAAGAACATACACACGTGTTATTCACATAAAAGGAAACATAGTACGAACCGATAAAATACTTCCATCTCCTTTATATATATATATATTTCTCATATCTCTCTTTTTACTTTCTCAATTCTCGTATATCACTTTATTTTTTCTCCCACCGGTAACACTTGAATCTTCTCTTTTTTTTGTTTCTTTTATCTTCTTGGAGAAGTATCAAAAATAGACGACAATTTTCACGAGGAAAAACAATCATACTCGCGAGCGTTCGTCGACATCGAATGGGACGAGGGTAGTTGGGGGTATGGGTGGGGGGTCAAAAAGCATTCTCGAACTTCTCTTTCCACTTTGTTCTAAACCCTCTTCCCTTACCATTACACCATTAACCTATCTCGAACGAATCGGTTTTTCAATTTTCTCCTCTCCTTTTTGCTTTCACCTTACTCCCGCTTAGCCATTGGATAGCTCGAATGGAAACGTCGAGTCAGAATCCCAATCGGTGGCTCTCCTTTCTCTTCATATCGTCATCGACGGGTTGAAGTTGTGTCGATGGCGGTTATCCCCTCTTCGTAACCTATTCAAGAGTTTAACAGATGAGGGAAAGAGAGGAGGGGATCAGTAAAAGGACGCGAGCGTTGGATCGAAGAGGGTACGGATCGAGCTCGCACCCAGTCTTATCTAATCGTACCTTTACCTATTAACTAAGGGACAACAAATCTTCTTATTTCTATTTCTATTTTTTATTGTTTTTTGCAAAATAAGTCTAAGAACAATTTACTGGGTAATATATTGAGTTAACAAACGGTTTACAGATCACGTGCGTTTGTTCGAAAAAGGGCGCGCATGCGTGAATTCTGCGATTCCGCGACCAAAGAATCGGCCAGTTGTCCCTTAACTTTAAGTCGTCTTCGGGGACTCGAGAAGGACGTGATTTTTGCTACCTTCTTTTTCTTTTTTCTCTCTCTTTCTCTCCTCTTTCCTCCTCCTCCTCTTCCTCCTCCTACTCCTGTCTTCGAATATTCATGAACGGTGGAAGAAAAATAAGAGTGAATCATGTTTACGTGGCCTTGTCCTTCGTAATTTTTTCGCGTGTTCGATATTAAGTTCGAGTTTTAGAGATTTACGTAGTTGCGTTTGCTTCTTTTAAACTGCTCGATTAACAAGGAGGTACGGAATAAATTATCGAGGAAGGACATTCGTGTAGTAAGCTGTGCCATTTTTTAATTTTTTTTTTCATTCATTTATTTAGATACGTTCCTGCGAAAATTTGATCATTTTCATTGAATTTGACTAGCTGTTGTATTTTTCTCCCTTTTCGTTGGTTTCTTTATTATTATATTTACATAACTTCATTACAAAGTTTTGTTCATGAGAAATACGGGAATATTGTGAAGAATTTTTTGTAAGAATCAAATCCACATAAGTCACGGCCAATCGAAATCCTAAGGTTTCATGATGCAGTGATCAACGATATTGCCACTCGTCTATCTTCGATACGAAAAAGGGACATGGATAAAGACAGGAATGCACAGGGTGAGTCTTTATTTTGTCACAATACTCTTTGTGTCTTACCTTAAAGATCGGTGGAACAATAGCAATTGTATTCCGATAAAGAAAAAATTGGACACGCGACGAATTTATTTATAAGGTTCAAGCCAAAACTGGGCTTTGGGAAATATTCGTTTAATATTTTCTTCTACGTGTATACAGAACGATTTGTTCTTTTTCTTTTTTTCTTAGAAAAATCAATCAAAATAAAATTTGTTTAATTGTACATCTCTTTCGACTAGATTTTTTCTTTTATAAAATTAATCGGTGATCATTAAAAAAGTTTATACGTTTCGTGATTTGCTGTTTCCTGATTCCTAGTTATCTATGTCGGAGAAAGTTCATCGAGAAAATTGGACGTTAGTTCGAAAACTTTGAGCTTCAATTGAACAAACAAAAATAAAAGAGTAAGTAATTTGAAAAGTGTAATTTGTAATGAGAATTATTTGATCTCTTTTATTAATTAATTTGAACTAGGACAGGAAAGGATTAATTGAGATCATTCGATTCCTAGAATATTCTGCACTTGTGTTAGATTTTTACGAATTTGTCAGATTTTCCTTTTTTAAGCATTTTAGAATTTTATTTTCTCGTTAGCTAATTATACTTTGTCTAAATCTTCTTTTAATCCTTTCAAAGGAAAGTTCTTATTCAAATAAAAAATTACTTTAATCGTGCAAAGAATATGTGGTACGTGAATACGATTACTTTCATATAATAGAATTGTTAATAAATATTTTTTATTGCGATCTGTATCAATTAGCTTGATTACAATAATAGATATTATATTTGTTTAATATCTATCAGTACAAATTAATGTCTATAAAAATATCGTCACAAACGAATGTCTATTTCCAATATTTTTCATCGAACTTAGTGTGATGTGTATTTTTAAAATCGTTCTGTATGCATACGGATATTGTATACTTTATCGATAAATTTAAATTGATTTCTTTTTTTTTTTTATCTAAGGTTTTTATATAAATACATTTCGAGTTGGTGTAAAACGTTGAAAGATTGACGAGCATTCGTGTCAAAGTAAAATCCGTTACGAATGGAAAATATTCTATGGGAAACAATTCGTTCGAGTCAATGTTTTATTTCTTTCGTTAGAAACAATTTTATTGTTTTTATCGTTAAAATGGAAGTACCAAAACAATGAACCTTAATAACGTGGTAAATGCATTGGTGGTCTTAATATGACAAGTTAATTCTTAGTGACAAACGACGTAAGATTATCTATGAATTTGATGATATATTTCCCTTGTGACATTTAATTAATCAGGCTATTCAATTATAACCGTCTCTCTATTCGTCGTCGTATAATAGAAGATGTAGATTTCTCTGGATTCAAAGACTAGCCGTGTTAGGAGATCTTTTTGTATTAAAAGTAACTACGAGATTTTCAAATCTTCTAGTTAATTATTGCCATTCGTTATTAATTAGTCGTTATTAATTTAATAATTAATTAATTTTTCAATCCACAAAGAAAAAAACAAAATTTCAATCAACATCAGCTGTGAAAAGTTGTAAGAAAAAAAAATCATTTATAATAATTTTCTTAATTTGTAGAAGAATATGCAATTAATTTATGCTGACGTGATACATAAATTGAAATTTTTAATTTAAGAGGACCTATTATAAATGATAAGTGTAAATTAATATACAGTATTATACGGAAGTTTCGATCTAATAAAACCCTGTCATTATCAGACATGCATATTACAGACGAGGTAGAAATTTTGATGATAGAAAAGAATTTATCGCTAGGTCAGCACTTTGAGTGACTAGTCGATATGGTAAACGTGACGTATCCTTAACGTTGTTGACTCAAAGCGAAGGAGGGAAATTCGTTTCCGGTATTAGAATCAAATGGCAATTGTGCAGGATTGGAAATCAAAGGACCTCGGTTTATCTCAAGTTGTATTTTGAAACTAGTTTGATAGAAAGTTAACGTGAACATTGACGTTATTCTAACTTCATCATTTTGAAAATGATTTGGGTTGTCTATCTGTTCATTTTATTCTATTTCACGAAATCAAAATCATTTATAAGACGACACTTTTTTATCGATAAAGTTATTTAACTGTTTTGTGATATAGTACTTTGGAAAATAAGCTTTTTTTATCTTACCCTGTCGAAAGAAATTTTAGTATTTTATATACTAACTCGATTTCTCGCACTTATCTCTTTGACCGTTACGTATGAGCATATTTTTCTTCGTAAAAAGTTTTCCAAGCATAGAATGATCACATTTATTTCCTTGAAGATCAATACGGGTTATCAGAAAGGAGAAGACCTTAACCCCTTAAGCTTACTTTTTATGCTCTATTGGTGAAATAAATATACTTTAAATATCATCATAGGATCGTTGAATAAAGCGTTACTTTGAACAGAATTTTAATGGAGGGTTTCGTCTATATTGTGTTTTGCAGGAAATTGTTCAAGAATTTCCTTTTCAATATTTTTATACTTTTTTTTTTATAATATAATACGTACAATATTTTAAAAGACTAGCTAGGGATAGCGTATAAGTGCATATGAATGATAAAGTAAGAGAGAACTCTGATACAAATAATACATAAGCTTCTTAGAAAAAGAACGTTCGGTTTTTCGTTTCCCTTTTATATTAGATTACTTGTTTACCACATTTTCTTTTCACTTGATAAAATGCTAGCACAAAGTAGCTTTCTTCTTCTTCTTCTTCTTCTTCTTCTAACGACTTGTTTATTATGTTTATTCGTTTCCATTATAAATCGGGATAAGTACGAAGAAGATATTTTTTTGGTATTTTTTTTACTTCGTAAAGATTCATAAATTTTAATTGAACGTAACGACGTTAATCGCGTTTCCGCTTTAATTATTACATTGTAATAACTTTGTAGTTCGGTTTGTGATTATATTCCAAATCGTGGCGAATGCATTTAGAGTTTGGAAATGATTTTCGTGATTAAGTTTATATACATGGGAACATTTTGATCAAATGGATTACATCGAAACGTTAATCAGTCGTTTAATTCGTTACGTTTCTATTATTCAAATCCTTGATGATACTTTCGTTTTAGGAAGTTCAATTTACGGACCATTGTTCATTAAATTAATCATTTCATTGGTGTTCATATTACGTACAATCTAGTTATATTAATTTGATCATTATCGAATTTAAACCAATGGAAGAATTTACAGAATTTATTATTCTTTATTCTATTGTATAATTCGACGAATAAATGCAACGTTATGTATAGTTGCTCGATTAGTTCGTATGAATCATCATGATCAATGACCGTGTCTGCTGTAAATTAATCTTCTATTTTTTTTTTGGAAGGAAAATCGATAAGATAGATTGAGACGTGAGATATGATACCATGTAAACAATTTTACTCATAATTGTACTTCCTATTTACGTTGTATTATCTACTGGAATTTCCTTATTTTTCAGAAATTATTTATTTCAATAAAAAACAAAAATAGGGAGATTTAATTGCAAGTTGTTACATAAAATTAATTCATGAGTGACACTGATTCATATTAAGTGAAACAAAAATTGTGACATGCTTTGTATAACGTGATAAAAAAATACAGGCTCTTATTAAACGATATACAGGTGTTGTACGCGTTTAATTTAAGTTGACAACTTTAAAGATTTTCTTTGGTTTCCGTAACACAGGAATATGAAATAGGTATAGAACAAAATTGTATCCTATGATACATGTAACTAGAATCTTATGGTTTTGTATTATAGAAAAAGAACGGAGAGACAACTATTGTACATTGTACGTCACATATTTCGAGATTAAATTATTCATAATGCATAGATTTCAATATTGAGTTTCATTTTCAATAAGCAAACTGCGAAGCTATATCTAGATTTAGTAAATTAGGAAGTTAAAATAACTGACAGTCCAATATTAACTTATACACGCGATCCTGTGTTTTTGCGAATATTTATTCAGCAAATATAATAAACCTGGACTCTCTTGTGTGAGGAATTATTGGAAATAGGAATTTCATTGATATACATACGTGTACACGTGGATATGCGTTGAAATATCATCGCTTTCTATAACTATATTTGAAATAGTTACGAGGCTTGGTTTTCAAATACCTTGATATTCAAATATTTCAATATGTTGGTATTCAAAAAGATCGAGCTTAATAAATTGAAGTACTCTACAGAGAATATTATATATATTATTTATCTATACACGTGTGTTTATTTAATTTCATATCTCATTGTAATTTCAAATTAATTCATTCGCGAATGAGTGTTATTTATCAATCTTTTGAAAGTTCATTAAAGTCACGTTATGTATGTTCGTAAGTTGGTTTATTTAGTCTGGAAGTTTAAGTATGTAGAAGTTTCTCAATTTAGAATATTTAATAGCACAATGCTTGTCATGCGATAATGTTAGACATAGCTAAAAAGTTACGTCAAATTAATATATTATATATATATATATATTTTTCATTAAGTTATCTATATTTGAAGTTACAGAGATTTCAATTAGAGAATCGTCATTTGAAAATAATATTTATTTAAATAGTTTGCCGCGACTCTTTGACGATCTTTTTATTCGACGATGAGAATCGATAATCTTCTTAACGTTTTCGATATTTAACCTCTAGCTGGCGCTAGTATTCCCCTTTGATAACTCACCGCTCTTGAAGATTCTTCATCTAGAAGATACCGGGTGTCGGTAAATTATCAGGTTGCGTTTAAGTAGTTTTTATCGTGGTAAACAATTCCCCTTTTCTAATTTTTTTCTCTGCTCATTGTTATTTGTAAGATATATAAAAGATGTCTCTGATATTGGTACAGTTGTATGTTTGTGTTTTTTTTTGTTTTCTTCAAATTTTACAGCTACGAATAAGGTAGGGGTGAGGGAGAGTGGAGACGGAAGGAAAGTAATTAATTATCGAATTAATTAGTCGATTTCCATTAGCAAATAACCGCGAGCGTTTATATATTTACGCAAATATACTTG